CTGATTTCCTTTAATTTTTTGTAACATTCTATTGAGAGTTTTGTGAATTTCGTTCTATTTTCTAATTTTCCTGTCCATTGTTTGGAAATTTGGAAATATTATATCGATCTTAAGTTTTGCTCAGAAAAAAGATCTTTTCTTTAATTAAAAATTAAAAACTTGATGCTTTGTCATTTGCAAGTCGAAATTTCAAATGGAAAAATCGGAATTTTGAAATGAGTTTAAAATCTGAATCATTTTTTAAACGGAACCTGCACTACCCGTTTTTTCCTATAAATACGAAGCTTCAGATCATAAATACTAGATTTTTCGAGAATTATGATAAATGTGTAATTCTCAACGTAAATGTCAGTTAAAATGCTTTTTTTTTCTCATTTTTGAGTAGCTTTTTTTGTCTCTTTTTTGTTTTGTTTTAGTGGTTTTCTCTATGTGGCGCTTTTGTCTTCCTTTTTGTCGTCAGTTCTATGGCCCTTCTCATACTCTTTTTTGTCCTCTTTGTTTCACCTTTTTTTTTGGTCGGTCTTTTTCCGCCTTTTTTGTAGCTTTTTGTTTTGTTGTTGTTTTTTTTTTCGCCTTATGCCATGTTTTGTTTCTTTTTTATCGCTTGTTTGGTCTTTTTTGTCGTTTCTTTGGTCCCTTTTTTCAGTCACATTTTTTATTCATTCTTTTCCCGTTATTTTAGTCGCTTTTTGCTATTTTCGCACAATTTTTTGCCCCTTCTTCCCTTTTTTGTCACCTTTTTTTTCGACTCATTTTTTTTCTCTTTATTTCGTCTTTTGTGTTCATTTTTTGCCTTTTTATCGCCTTTTTGTATTGTAAAATTTCTACTGTAACTTCTGTCTTTTTTTAATACATAGTCATATTTCTGCTTATATTTTGCCTTTTTTTCTTAATATACATAGCCATCTTTTCTTTCAGAACAAGAAACTTAGAACATGGCTAAAACGGTATATTTTTGCAAGGAAATATGGATTTTGAAATTATGGGGCGGAGCCTAATTGCAAAATCAATAATTTCCTTATACAAATTTTCCTTTTCAAATATGTTTTAAGTTTCATGTTGTGAAAAGATGGCTAAGCATATTAAGAAAAAAAGCAAAATATAAGACCCGCCCACCAGCCCCGTCTCTATTGTAATGATTTTTTGATTTGACGTGAACCAAGGGGGCGGAGCTTAACAACTGCAACATACTTATTTCTTTCCAACAAATTAGAAACACGTTCTTGAGTATTGTGTTGCTCAAGGAATACTATGTATATTAAGAAAAAAGGCAAAATATAAACCCCACCCACCCACCCCATCTCGATTGTGATGATTTTTTTCATTCTTAGATAAGGATTTTGCAACTAAATTCCGCTCCTTTGTCTCTCGACTATTAAAAAAAAAACAATCACAATCGAGATGGGGTGGGTGGGTGGGGTTTATATTTCGCATTTTTTTTCTTAATATACGTAGTCGTCTTTTCCGAACAAGAAACTTAAAACATGTTGAAAATGGTAAATTCTTGTAGACAAATACGGATCTTGCAATTAAGCCCCGCCTCTCGATGTGCCAACAATGAAAAATTCGTCACAATTGAGAATTGAGATCGGGGCGGGAATGGGTGGGATTTAACCTTGGGCTTTATTTTTTTCTTAGTATACATAGTATTCTTTGAATAACACGATACTCAAAAACAATTAATTTGTAATTTTTAGTAGAGAAATAAGGATTTTGCAGTTAAGCTCCGCCTTCTTCAGAATCGAGATAGGGCGGGTGGGTGGGGCTGATATTTTGCCTTTTTTTCTTAATATACATAGCCTTCTTTTCTTTCTCAACAAGAAACTTGAACATGGTTAAAGCGGTAAGGCAAGATGTATGATATACCTTCTAAGAAAAGAGAGGGTGGGTGGGTGGGGCTAGTAGTTGCTAAGATAAGACTGATTTTGGCAAATGAAATATCCTCCAAGAAAACAGAGGGTGGGTGGGTGGGGCTAATACCTAATTAAATAAGACCGATTTTGGCAAATGACATATTCGCTAAGAAAATAGAGGGTGGGTGGGCGAGGCTAGTAGCTGCTACAATCAGACTGATTTTAGCAAATGATGTATCCTCTAAGAAATTTAATTAAATTATTATAACAAAAGACACTAGAAGCTCCAAAGCACTTTCAAATTCTTTCCAAACTGGAATATCTAGAACCTCAAGATTGCTTTAAATTAAAAAAAAAAACAGGGTCCCAAAATTAACTCAAAAACAGGTCAGCTCAGAATTTTCCAAAAATAGAACACCAATGTCCCCCAAAATTGTTTTAAATAATTTACAAAAAATCTCTATTTATCTTATCAATTATTAGGCCCGCCCACCCACCCTCTATTTTCTTGGGGGAATGTGATTTGCCAAAATCAGTCTTATCTTAGCAAACACCTAGCTAAGATATGACTGATTTTGGCATATGACATAGCCTCTAAGAAAAGAGAGGGCGGGTGGGCGGGGCTAATACCTGTTTAAATATGACCAATTTTGGCAGATGGCATTCCCTGCAAAAAAAGTGAGAGTAGGTGGGCGGGGCAAGTACCGTCTAAGATAAGACTGATTTTAGCAAATGATGTATCCTCTAAGAAATTTAATTAAATTATTATAACAAAAGACACTAGAAGCTCCAAAGCACTTTCAAATTTTTTCCAAACAGGAATACCTAGAACCTCAAGATTGTTTAAAGTTAAAAAAAAAACAGGATCCCAAAATTAACTCAAAAAAAGGTCAGGTCAGAATTTTCCAAAAATAGAACACCAATGTCCCCCAAAATTGTTTTAAATAACTTACAAAAAATCTCTATTTATCTTATCAATTACTAGCCTCGCCCACCCACCCTCTATTTTCTTGGGGGGAATGTGATTTGCCAAAATCAGTTTTATCTTATCAAATACTAGCCCCGCCCACCCACCCTCTATTTTCTTGGAGGACATGTGATTTGCCAGAATCAGTCTTATCTTGGCAAATACCTAGCTAAGATATGACTCATTTTGGCATATGACATACCCTCTAAGAAAAGAGAGGGTGGGTGGGTGGGGCCAGTACCCTGGTAAGAAGATAATACTGAATTTGGCAAATGAAATATCCTCTAAAAAAAGGGGAGGGCGGGTGGGCGGGGCTAATACCTGTTTAAATAAGACCAATTTTGGCAGATGGCATTCCCTGCAAGAAAAGTGAAGGTGGGTGGGCGGGGCAAGTACCTTCTAAGATAAGACTGATTTTGGCAAATGATATATCCTCTAAAAAATTTAAATTGTTATAAGAAAACAAACTAGATGCTCCAAAGCAGTTTCAAATTCTTTCCAAACAGGGATACCAAAATTGTTTTAAATTTTCAAAAAAAAAAAGGTGTCCCAAAAACAGGTTACAAAGAATTTTCCAAAAATAAAACACCAAAGTCCCCCAAAATTGTTTGAAATACTCGTAGTTTACAAAAAAAAATCTCCATGGGCTCCCAAAATAATACACCATGGATACACAAGAGACTCCCGAATTAAAAAAAAAAACACTGCGGCACTCAAGACTTTTTCAGATTCGTAAAAAGTGAAACAGTAAAAGCTCAAAAGGTTTTTTCAAGTTCATCCAGCAACAAAACACCAGATTCCTTTAAATTTTTGGACGAATCCTTTGAGTCTCCAAACCCCATAAGGTGGAAACTGTTCTCAATCGTCTCCTTTATCGGAAAAAGAAAGTTTCGCGTGCACGAGTGTCGAAAATATGTCTTCAACGCGTGCTGCGTAAATAACTTTTTCTACGACAAAGTCGAGTGTTGGAAAGGAAAATACGTGAAAGGAAATGAATTTCGGGAATCCAAAGAGGAGAATACGGAGTGTACTTTTTTTACTTTTGTATATAATACTTGTTGTAAATTAGTTTTATCTTATCAAATACTTGCCCCGCCCACCCACCCTCTATTTTCTTGGAAGCAATGTGATTTGCCAAAATCAGTTTTATCTTATCAAATATAAGCCCCGCCCACCCACCCTCTATTTTCTTTGAGGACATGTGATTTGCCAAAATCAGTCTTATCTTAGCAAATACCTAGCTAAGATATGACTGATTTTGGCATATGATATACTCTCTAAGAAAAGAAAGGGTGGGTGGGTGGGGCTAGTACTCTGGTAAGATAATACTGAATTTGGCAAATGAAATATCCTATAAGAAAAGAGAGGGCGGGTGGGCGGGGCTAATATCTGTTTAAAGATCGATTTTGGCAGATGATATTCCCTGCAAGAAAAGTGAGGGTGGGTGGGTGGGGCTAGTACCTGCTAAGATAAGACTGATTTTGGCAAATGATGTATCCTCTAAGAAATTTAATTAAATTATTATAAGAAAAGACACTAGAAGATCCAAAGCACTTTAAAATTCTTCCCAAATAGGAATAACTAGAACCTCAAGATTGTTTTAAATTTTTCAAAAAAAAAAAACTGCCATTTTTAAAACCGAACCAATCCTCAGGTGACAATAATAGAAAAAACGGAGAAAAATCCCTAAACTAAGTTAACGGCTACAATCATACACGAACCTACAACTAAAAAATGAGAGAAAAATCGGACCGGATACATTCAACGAAGTGAAAGAACAAAAAGGTATTCAACACAAACTGGTCTAAATCTAACAAATCACTTACCACTAAGTCTTATCGATAATAATTACCGTTTTCGAGTGGGATGCAGTGGTGCCAACATCCCACCCGATAAATACGATTGTTTATTTTTATTTTTTACAAAGATCAGAGAATCTGGCACCTAAACAGCAGTGTTTTAGTTGTTGCCTATTTTTTTTACGATCCATGATACGAAAATGAGGACAATAAATGAAAATGAGGTGAGTGCGGTTCGCTATCGACTTAAAAATTACTCTGGCGTTTCTGCAGAAATTCAGGAAGAGGGAACAAATCGGGAAACGAACAAAGATAAGCGTAACAATTTGTGTTTGTTGTGTTGGTATTACTGGAGGAATTGCGAAAAAAAAAAACAGAAACAACTCTTGAGATATATATTTTTGAATATAAGTGTAAGAGTTACTAAATCAGAGAGTTTGGTTATTTTTGGGCTCTATGTTTTGACGGCCGAAGCGACCACGGGTAGTCCTTCTCCGTGTACTTCCTCAGCGGCAAATCATAAAGCAACGGAAAAACCTTCTCCCCCACGTCACTTTTGGCCTGGAAGTACTTCTCACCAAAGAACTTCGGAACAAGCAAAACCCCGATTTCGCAGTTCCTCACAAAAATATCCTCAGTCCTCTCACCCCCTCTGGGTGCGTAGTACTGCCCCCAAGCTCCCTTATTCACGTTCCCGGTGGTAAGCAAAAACCACGCCACCTTCGTCGAATACGACGACACCCTGCAGTACGTCTTCGTATGCGGCATAAATTTGCTCCTCCCTAGTTCATTGGCCTTCCACTGACTAAAAAACACAATTAAAAAATAATAAAACAAAATAAAATTTTGTGGCCATTCTTACTATAAAAAATCCTGAAGCCACAGCTGGTTAGTATGCACGGCTCGACTGTACCGCAGCCCCTCCCCCACGAGCTCGGCGTCGAAAACCCCATTCATCACCTCCTTCCACGTCGGAAAAACGATCTTGAGCGGCGCCAGAGGCGACGCCAACCGACTCAAAAAGAAAGAGCGCAACCAGACGTCCGGGGACTCACCGAACTGGCCCAAATTCGACGCCTGCGCAATCACAGGCCAGAAGGGTTCTTCGTTCGGGGGTAAACGCGAGTGCTTTTTCAATACATTTTGCACTTGTTGGATGTGGCTGCCGGGGTTGTCGGGGCTATAGCGACCCGGAATTGACGTTATAAGGAAAGCTGTGACGTCACTAAAATCGGCTGACGTCACATCGTTGCTCCACGGTTCCAAAATCGGAAGATCGTAGTGGTTTAAGAACGCCAAAAGGTCGGACTTGAATTTAGTCGCGGATTCACCACCAGATTGGTCGTCGTCGTTGAGGCGTCGACAACGAGGGCTCACCCAGAAGCTAAAATTAGCGTAATCAGACCAGAGTTAGTGTGACGTCACGACAATACCCGTGGTTGAAGCGCTCCCATTGGTCGCGCAGATTGCACGTGGAGATAACCACCCTCAGAGAGTCGTCGTCGTAAACGTAGATGCTAATTTTTCTGAAAAAAAAAAAAAAAATAGAAAAAATCGCACGTCTTGAAAAAGACTAACTCGTGGTGGTTGCTGTATAAACGGTGTTTTTTGGCTGCTTCAGCTCAGGTTAAATTAAGTCAAATTAACTCAGGGTAGGTCAGGATAAAACTAAATTTACAACAATAATTTATGGTGAAAACAAATAATTGGTTCTCTGATTTCCTTTAATTTTTTGTAACATTCTATTGAGAGTTTTGTGAATTTCGTTCTATTTTCTAATTTTCGTGTCCATTGTTTGGAAATTTGGAAATATTATATCGATCTTAAGTTTTGCTCAGAAAAAAGATCTTTTCTTTAATTAAAAATTAAAAACTTGATGCTTTGTCATTTGCAAGTCGAAATTTCAAATGGAAAAATCGGAATTTTGAAATGAGTTTAAAATCTGAATCATTTTTTAAACGGAACCTGCACTACCCGTTTTTTCCTATAAATACGAAGCTTCAGATCATAAATACTAGATTTTTCGAGAATTATGATAAATGTGTAATTCTCAACGTAAATGTCAGTTAAAATGCTTTTTTTTTCTCATTTTTGAGTAGCTTTTTTTGTCTCTTTTTTGTTTTGTTTTAGTGGTTTTCTCTATGTGGCGCTTTTATCTTCCTTTTTGTCGTCAGTTCGATGGCCCTTCTCATACTCTTTTTTGTCCTCTTTGTTTCACCTTTTTTGGTCGGTCTTTTTCAGCCTTTTTTGTAGCTTTTTGTTTTTGTTGTTTTTTTTTCGCCTTATGCCATGTTTTGTTTCTTTTTTATCGCTTGTTTGGTCTTTTTTGTCATTTCTGTGGTCCCTTTTTTCAGTCACATTTTTTATTCATTCTTTTTCCGTTATTTTAGTTGCTTTTTGCTATTTTCGCACAATTTTTTGCCCCTTCTTTCCTTTTTTTTGACATCTTTTTTTTCGTCTTTTGTGTTCACTTTTTTGCCGTTTTATCGCCTTTTTGTATTGTAAAATTTCTACTGTAACTTCTGTCTTTTTTTTTTAATACATATTCATATTTCTGCTTATATTTTGTCTTTTTTTCTTAATATACATAGCCATCTTTTCTTTCAGAGCAAGAAACTTAGAACATGGTTAAAACGGTATATTTTTGCAAGGAAATATGGATTTTGAAATTATGGGGCGGAGCCTAATTGCAAAATCGATATTTCCTTATACAAATTTTCCTTTTTAAATATGTTTTAAGTTTCATGCTGTGAAAAGATGGCTAAGCATATTAAGAAAAAAGAAGGCAAAATATAAGCCCCGCCCACCCGCCCCGTCTCTATTGTAATGATTTTTTATTTGCCGTGAACCAAGGGGGCGGAGCTTAACAACTGCAAAATACTTATTTCTTTCCAACAAATTAGAAACACGTTTTTGAGTATTGTGTTACTCAAGGAATACTATGTATATTAAAAAAAAAATCAAAATATAAACCCCACCCACCCACCCCATCTCGATTGTGATGATTTTTTTAATTCTTAGATAAGGATTTTGCAACTAAATTCCGCTCCTTTGTCTCTCGACTATTAAAAAAAAAAACAATCACAATCGAGATGGGGTGGGTGGGTGGGGTTTATATTTCGCATTTTTTTTCTTAATATACGTAGTCGTCTTTTCCGAACAAGAAACTTAAAACATGTTGAAAATGGTAAATTCTTGTAGACAAATAGGGATCTTGCAATTAAGCCCCGCCTCTCGATGTGCTAACAATGAAAAATTCGTCACAATTGAGAATTGAGATCGGGGCGAGAATGGGTGGGATTTAACCTTGGGCTTTATTTTTTTCTTAGTATACATAGTATTCTTTGAATAACACGATACTCAAAAACAATTAATTTTTAATTTTTAGTAGAGAAATAAGGATTTTGCAGTTAAGCTCCGCCTTCTTCAGAATCGAGATAGGGCGGGTGGGTGGGGCTGATATTTTGCCTTTTTTTCTTAATATACATAGCCTTCTTTTCTTTCTCAACAAGAAACTTGAACATGGTTAAAGCAGTAAGGCAAGATGTATGATATACCTTCTAAGAAAAGAGAGGGTGGGTGGGCGGTTGGGGCTAGTACCTGATAAGATAAAACTGATTTTGGCAAATGAGATACCTTCTAAGAAAAGAGAGGGTGAGTGGGTGGGGCTAGTAGTTGCTAAGATAAGACTGATTTTGGCAAATGAAATATCCTCCAAGAAAACAGAGGGTGGGTGGATGGGGCTAATACCTAATTAAATAAGACCGATTTTGGCAAATGACATATTCGCTAAGAAAATAGAGGGTGGGTGGGCGAGGCTAGTAGCTGCTACAATCAGACTGATTTTAGCAAATGATGTATCCTCTAAGAAATTTAATTAAATTATTATAACAAAAGACACTAGAAGCTCCAAAGCACTTTCAAATTCTTTCCAAACTGGAATATCTAGAACCTCAAGATTGCTTTAAATTAAAAAAAAAACAGGGTCCCAAAATTAACTCAAAAACGGGTCAGGTCAGAATTTTCCAAAAATAGAACACCAATGTCCCCCAAAATTGTTTTAAATAATTTACAAAAAATCTCTGTTTATCTTATCAATTATTAGCCCCGCCCACCCACCCTCTATTTTCTTGGGGGAATGTGATTTGCCAAAATCAGTTTTATCTTATCAAATACTAGCCCCGCCCACCCACCCTCTATTTTCTTGGAGGACATGTGATTTGCCAAAATCAGTCTTATCTTGGCAAATACCTAGCTAAGATATGACTCATTTTGGCATATGACATACCCTCTAAGAAAAGAGAGGGTGGGTGGGTGGGGCCAGTACCCTGGTAAGAAGATAATACTGAATTTGGCAAATGAAATATCCTCTAAAAAAAGGAGAGGGCGGGTGGGCGGGGCTAATACCTGTTTAAATAAGACCAATTTTGGCAGATGGCATTCCCTGCAAGAAAAGTGAAGGTGGGTGGGCGGGGCAAGTACCTTCTAAGATAAGACTGATTTTGGCAAATGATATATCCTCTAAAAAATTTAAATTGTTATAAGAAAACAAACTAGATGCTCCAAAGCAGTTTCAAATTCTTTCCAAACAGGGATACCAAAATTGTTTTAAATTTTCAAAAAAAAAAAACGGTGTCCCAAAAACAGGTTACAAAGAATTTTCCAAAAATAAAACACCAAAGTCCCCCAAAATTGTTTGAAATACTCGTAGTTTACAAAAAAAAATCTCCATGGGCTCCCAAAATAATACACCATGGATACACAAGAGACTCCCGAATTAAAAAAAAAAACACTGCGGCACTCAAGACTTTTTCAGATTCGTAAAAAGTGAAACAGTAAAAGCTCAAAAGGTTTTTTCAAGTTCATCCAGCAACAAAACACCAGATTCCTTTAAATTTTTGGACGAATCCTTTGAGTCTCCAAACCCCATAAGGTTGAAACTGTTCTCAATCGTCTCCTTTTTCGGAAAAAGAAAGTTTCGCGTGCACGAGTGTCGAAAATATGTCTTCAACGCGTGCTGCGTAAATAACTTTTTCTACGACAAAGTCGAGTGTTGGAAAGGAAAATACGTGAAAGGAAATGAATTTCGGGAATCCAAAGACGAGAATACGGAGTGTACTTTTTTTACTTTTGTATATAATACTTGTTGTAAATTAGTTTTATCTTATCAAATACTTGCCCCGCCCACCCACCCTCTATTTTCTTGGAAGCAATGTGATTTGCCAAAATCAGTTTTATCTTATCAAATATAAGCCCCGCCCACCCACCCTCTATTTTCTTTGAGGACATGTGATTTGCCAAAATCAGTCTTATCTTAGCAAATACCTAGCTAAGATATGACTGATTTTGGCATATGATATACTCTCTAAGAAAAGAAAGGGTGGGTGGGTGGGGCTAGTACTCTGGTAAGATAATACTGAATTTGGCAAATGAAATATCCTATAAGAAAAGAGAGGGCGGGTGGGCGGGGCTAATATCTGTTTAAAGATCGATTTTGGCAGATGATATTCCCTGCAAGAAAAGTGAGGGTGGGTGGGCGGGGCTAGTACCTGCTAAGATAAGACTGATTTTGGCAAATGATGTATCCTCTAAGAAATTTAATTAAATTATTATAAGAAAAGACACTAGAAGATCCAAAGCACTTTAAAATTCTTCCCAAATAGGAATAACTAGAACCTCAAGATTGTTTTAAATTTTTCAAAAAAAAAAACCTCCCATTTTTAAAACCGAACCAATTCTCAGGTGACAATAATAGAAAAAACGGAGAAAAATCCCTAAACTAAGTTAACGGCTACAATCATACACGAACCTACAACTAAAAAATGAGAGAAAAATCAGACCGGATACATTCAACGAAGTGAAAGAACAAAAAGGTATTCAACACAAACTGGTCTAAATCTAACAAATCACTTACCACCAAGTCTTATCGATAATAATTACCGTTTTCGAGTGGGATGCAGTGGTGCCAACATCCCACCCGATAAATACGATTGTTTATTTTTATTTTTTTACAAAGATCAGAGAATCTGGCACCTAAACAGCGGTGTTTTAGTTGTTGCCTATTTTTTTTACGATCCATGATACGAAAATGAGGACAATAAATGAAAATGAGGTGAGTGCGGTTCGCTATCGACTTAAAAATTACTCTGGCGTTTCTGCAGAAATTCAGGAAGAGGGAACAAATCGGGAAACGAACAAAGATAAGCGTAACAATTTGTGTTTGTTGTGTTGGTATTACTGGAGGAATTGCGAAAAAAAAAACAGAAACAACTCTTGAGATATATATTTTTGAATATAAGTGTAAGAGTTACTAAATCAGAGAGTTTGGTTATTTTTGGGCTCTATGTTTTGACGGCCGAAGCGACCACGGGTAGTCCTTCTCTGTGTACTTCTTCAGCGGCAAATCATAAAGCAACGGAAAAACCTTCTCCCCCACGTCACTTTTGGCCTGGAAGTACTTCTCACCAAAGAACTTCGGAACAAGCAAAACCCCGATTTCGCAGTTCCTCACAAAAATATCCTCAGTCTTCTCACCCCCTCTGGGTGCGTAGTACTGCCCCCACGCCCCCTTATTCACGTTCCCGGTGGTAAGCAAAAACCACGCCACCTTCGTCGAACACGACGACACCCTGCAGTACGTCTTCGTATGCGGCATAATTTTGCTTCTCCCTAGTTCATTGGCCTTCCACTGACTAAAAATCAATTAAAAAATAATAAAACAATAATAAAACAATAATAAAATTTTGTGGCCGTTCTTACTATAAAAAATCCTGAAGCCACAGCTGGTTAGTGTGCACGGCTCGACTGTACCGCAACCCCTCCCCCACGAGCTCGGCGTCGAAAACCCCATTCATCACCTCCTTCCACGTCGGAAAAACGATCTTGAGCGGCGCCAAAGGCGACGCCAACCGACTCAAAAAGAAAGAGCGCAACCAGACGTCCGGGGACTCCCCGAACTGGCCCAAATTCGACGCCTGCGCAATCACAGGCCAGAAGGGTTCTTCGTTCGGGGGTAAACGCGAGTGCTTTTTCAATACATTTTGCACTTGTTGGATATGGCTGCCGGGGTTTTCCGGGCTATAGCGACCCGGAATTGACGTTATAAGGAAAGCTGTGACGTCACTAAAATCGGCTGACGTCACATAGTTGCTCCACGGTTCCAAAATCGGAAGATCGTAGTGGTTTAAGAAAGCTAAAAGGTCGGACTTGAATTTAGTCGGGGATTCACCACCAGATTGCTCGTCGTCGTTGAGGCGTCGACAACGAGGGCTCACCCAGAAGCTAAAATTAGCGTAATCAGACCAGAGTTAGTGTGACGTCACGACAATACCCGTGGTTGAAGCGCTCCCATTGGTCGCGCAGATTGCACGTGGAGATAACAACCCTCAGAGAGTCGTCGTCGTAAACGTAGATGCTAATTTTTCTGAAACAAAAAATTAGAAAAAATCGCACGTCTTGAAAAAGACTAACTCGTGGTGGTTGCTGTATAAACGGTGTTTTTTGGCCTCTTCGTCGTCCAAAAGGCACTGCAGGGTGACGTTCGGGTACCTGGATTTTTCGATCAATTTCCCCTCGATGTTCGAGTACAAAATCGTGAGCGGCTTCGTCCTGCAAAAGTAGCAATTTCGGACCAGCTTATATATGATTGCGTCATGCGCGCTGACTCACTCGACTTTCTGTATCTTGTACTGTTTGATTAGCCACTGGATATCAACTTTCGCAGCGATGTGTAATGAACATTTCAGCTGGCCGAGGCTGGGGCACAAAAAATCGGTGAAGGCCACAGAGTTGGACTCGGGTTTAGTCACTTGGGCGATTTCGTTGTAGAAAATGTTGTAGGGGGCTGCGTCTGCCAGTTTGTCCAACATGGTTTTCGAGTAGGCCATGCTTACAGCTGAGTAGATTATTACACTGTTATCACTCGAAGTGGTACTTTAGTGGCACGCGTACACAAAGCGTAATCAAAGTCGACACAGGATGTCAATTGAAAGATGGAGGTGTATTTATGTTGGCGATTATTCGATAAAGCGGGGATCCCCCAATGAAAACAAGTGTCGGTTTGAATATTCGCGCCCATATTTGTGTCATCGTACACACGAATTTTTCAATAAAGTTGTCGGCTCTATTTACTGCGTCATAAGGGTTGTAGTCGCTTAAAGTTGTCGGTGCGTCGAAATCGTAGCTTCTCTGCTTTCAAGTTCTCAGGTTAAGTCGGTTCAGGAAAAGCAAGGACGTGTGTTGTTTCAGGTGGTGCTATTGGTAGCCATGATTGTCAAATTGTAATAGAAATGTTCACCGACGTAGAAATAGAATAGATTGCTTACATACATTGTCATTTTTTCAACTTTTGGATCTTTCAATTTTTGATTTTTGAACTTTTATATTTTTCAGTTTTACCATTTTGTCGTTTTTAGTTTTTTAATTTTTATATTTATTTTTTTTAACTTTATTATTTTGTCTCACAATTTTTTCTTTTTTTATATTTGAGAAGTTGATAAATCGAAAAATTAAAAATGGAAAAATCCTGCACCATTTTGATATGCTTTCGACCTTTTTTTTCAGTTGTCAGATCAACATCAAAGATTGTTATCATGTCATCATCAGTGACATATTCGGCGAAAAAATAATCTATTTAAACACGAGATAAAATGATGAGACTGTGACATTAATTATCTTATTAAACTGACATTACAATTGTTTTTATTATCGATTGCAGATGTTCTTGAAGTTTATTTTAAGCTGAATTCAAGTACGATAAGTCAAAAGGAGAGTGTCTTGTTACGTTCTGAGAAATCTTATCACTCTTATCAAATTATACACAACGTCATTGTCTGCAAAACTCTTGCACTTACACTAAAAATAGAATGGGAAATTTGTCTTCTCTTGCCCACTCTATTTCTTCATATTTGTAGACTATTCTTCAATTTTTAATTTTACGATTTTTTGGTTTATCGATTTTATTAAATTTTTTAATTAATAATTTTTCGACTTTTAGGCTTTTCGATTTTTCAGTTTCTCGATTTTTTAATTTTTCGCTTTCTCGATTTTCGTAATTTTCGATTTGTTAATTTTTCAACATTCTAATTTCAGGAATTATTCAACTTCTTTTTTTTTCAATTTCAATTTTTATCAGTTTGTTTGATTTATCGATTTTACGATTTTGTGGTGTTTCGATTCTTCGAATTTTGAATTTCTCGACATCGATTTTTTGATTTTTCAATATTTTAATTTTTCGATGTTTTAGATTTTTCATTTTTCTGATGTTTCAATTTTTCGACTTCTTAGTTTTAGATTTTTTTTTTGATTTTTAAAATACCTGATTTTTGAATATTTCATTTTTTTTTAATTATTCAATTTTTCAGTTCATCTATTTTTAAATTTTCTGATTTTTGATTTCTCAATTTTTGTAATTTTCGGTTTCTTAATTTTTCAACATTTTAATTTCAGGAATTATTCAATTCTTGTTTTTTTTTCAATTGTCGATATTTAGAATTTTTGATTTTTTAAATTTAAAATTTTTCGATCGCCCGATTTTCGTTTTTAAAATTTTTTGATTTTAAAATTTTTTATTTTTCGCTGTTTCAATTTTTTGGTTTTTAAATGTTCTGTTTTTTCAGTCTTTCTCAATTTTTCAATTACCCATTTCTCGATTCATCGATGTTTAAATTTTCCGGTTCTTTGATTATCGATTTTAATAAAATTTTCAATGATTAATTTTTCAACTTTGAGTTATTTCGATTTGTAGATCTTTCGACTTTTCGTTCTTTTTATGTCTCGATTTCTCGATGTTTCAATTTATCGACTTTCAGACATTTCGATTTTTTGATTCTGCTTCTTGTTTTTTCGATTTTTGAAATTTTCGATTTCTCGATTTTTCAAATTTTCGATTTCCCAATTTTTCAACATTTCAAAATCGGGAATTTTTCAATTTCTATTTTTATCAGTTTGATTTATCGATTTTACGATTTTGTGATGTTTCGATTTCCCGATTTTTAATTTTTTCAATACATCAATATTTCGATTCTTCGAATTTTGAATTTCTCGACATCGATTTTTTAATGTTTCAATATTTTAGTTTTTCGATTTTTCAATTTTCTGATGTTTCAATTTTTCGACTTCTTAGTTTTAGATTTTTTTTTTGAGTTTTTAAATATCTAATTTTTGAATATTTCATTTTTTTTTTTTAATTATTCAATTTTTCAGTTCATCTATTTTAAAATTTTCTGATTTTTAAAATTTTTTATTTTTCGATTTTTCAATTTTTTGGTTTTTAAATGTTCTGTTTTTTGAGTCATTTTCAATTTTTCAATTACCGATTTCTCGATTCATCGATTTTTAAATTTTCCAATTTTTGATTTATCGATTTTATTAAAATTTTCAATGATTAATTTTTCGATTTTGAGTTATTTCGATTTGTCGATCTTTCGACTTTTCGTTCTTTTCATGTCTCGATTTCTCGATGTTTCAATTTTTCGACTTTTAGACTTTTGATTCTCCAATTTTTCAATCAATTTTTCGAGAATTCAGTTTGAAGATTTTTTAAAATCTGTTTCTTTCGATTTTTGAAATTTTAGATTTCTCGATTTTTCAAATTTTCGATTTCCCAGTTTTTCAACATTTCAGAACTGGGAATTTTTCAATTTCTATTTTTATCAGTTTGTTTGAAGTATCGAATTTACGATTTTGTGATGTTTCGATTTCCCGATTTTTAATTTTTTCAATACATCAATATTTCGATTCTTCGAATTTTGAATTTCTCGACATCGATTTTTTGATTTTTCAATATTTTAATTTTTCGATGTTTTAGATTTTTCAATTTTCTGATGTTTCAATTTTTCGACTTCTTAGTTTTAGATTTTTTTTTTTGATTTTTAAAATATCTGATTTTTGAATATTTCATTTTTTTTTAATTATTCAATTTTTGAGTTCATCTATTTTTATATTTTCTGATTTTTGATTTCTCGTTTTATCGAGATTTTTAATGTTTCCATTTATCAAGTTTTTTTAACTTTAAAATTTAATGTTTTCAATATTGTATTAATTTTTCAATTTTGGGCTTCTCCAATTTCTCGGTTTTACAATTTTTCAATATTTCCATTTTTGAGTTTTGCGTTTTCTCCATCTCCTGTTTTTTTGGTCTTTCACTTTTTCGGCTTTTCGATTTTTCAATTTCTCGATTTTCGAATTTTTCGATTTCTCAATTTTTGTAATTTTCGGTTTCTTAATTTTTCAACATTTTAATTTCAGGAATTATTCAATTTCTGTTTTTTTTTTCAATTGTCGATATTTAGAATTTTTGATTTTTTAAATTTAAAATTTTTCGATCGCCCGATTTTCGATTTTAAAATTTTTTGATTTTTAAATTTTTTTTTGTCGCTTTTCAATTTTTTGGTTTTTAAATGTTCTGATTTTTCAGCCTTTTTCAATTTTTCAATTACCGATTTCTCGATTCATCGATTTTTAAATTTTCCGATTTTTTGCTTTATCGATTTTAATAAAATTTTCAATGATTAATTTTTCGATTTTGAGTTGTTTCGATTTTTCGACTTTTCGTTCTTTTCATGTCTCGATTTCTCGATTTTTCAATTTTTAGACTTTTGATTCTCTAATTTTTCAATCAATTTTTCGAGAATTCAGTTTGAAGATTTTTTAAATTCTCTGTTTCTTTCGATTTTTGAAATTTTCGATTTCTGGATTTTTCAAATTTTCGATTTCCCAATTTTTCAACATTTCAGAACTGGGAATTTTTCAATTTCTATTTTTATCAGTTTGTTTGATTCATCGAATTTACGATTTTGTGATGTTTCGATTTCCCGATTTTTAATTTTTTCAATACATCAATATTTCGATTCTTCGAATTTTGAATTTCTCGACATCGATTTCTTGATTTTTCAATATTTTAATTTTTCGATGTTTTAGATTTTTCAATTTTCTGATGTTTCAATTTTTCGACTTCTTAGTTTTAGATTTTTTTTTTGATTTTTAAAATATCTGATTTTTGAATATTTCATTTTTTTTAATTATTCAATTTTTCAGTTCATCTATTTTTAAATTTTCTGATTTTTGATTTCTCGTTTTATCGAGATTTTTAATGTTTCCATTTATCGATTTTTTTTAACTTTAAAATTTAATGTTTTCAATATTGTATTAATTCTTCAATTTTGGGCTTCTCCAATTTCTCGGTTTTACAATTTTTCAGTATTTTCATTTTTGAGTTTTGCGATTTCTCCATCTCTTGTTTTTTTCATCTTTCAGTTTTTCGGCTTTTCGATTTTTCAATTTCTCGATTTTCGAATTTTTCGATTTCTCAATTTTTGTAATTTTCGGTTTCTTAATTTTTCAACATTTTAATTTCAGGAATTATTCAATTTCTGTTTTTTTTTTTCAATTCTCGATGTTTACAATTTTTGATTTTTTATATTTAAAATTTTTCGAACGCCCGATTTTCGATTTTAAATTTTTTTATTTTTCGATTATTCAATTTTTTGGTTTTTAAATGTTCTGTTTTTTCAGTCTTTTTCAATTTTTCAATTACCGATTTCATGGATTTTTAAATTTTCCGATTTTTGATTTATCGATTTTATTAAAATTTTCAATGATTAACTTTTCGATTTTGAGTTGTTTCGATTTGTCGATTTTTCGATTTTTCATTCTTTTCATGTCTCGATTTCTCGATGTTTCAATTCCTCGATTTTTAGACTTTTGATTCTCTAATTTTTCAATCAATTTTTCGAGAATTCAGTTTGAAGATTTTTTAAATTCTGTTTCTTTCGATTTTTGAAATTTTCGATTTCTCGATTTTTCACATTTTCGATTTCCCAATTTTTCAACATTTTAGAACTGAGAATTTTTCAATTTCTATTTTTATCAGTTTGTTTGATTTATCGATTTTACGATTTTGTGATGTTTCGATTTCCCGATTTTTAGTTTTTTCAATACATCAATATTTCGATTCTTCGAATTTTGAATTTCTCGACATCGATTTTTTGATTTTTCAATATTTT